AATAAATCTCACATGTATGCATATACACACTGATCAATTCCTGTTTTGCATATGACAAGTCAAGATACTTTGCATCTATATGATTTTATCTCATTTTCTATAAAGTCAAAACAGCACAATTCTTTCTACTAGCACCTTGCTCATCCACTTCTTCCCCCTTCCTCCCCATAAATCAGTCTATTTCTGTTTTTTCCTGGATTCAAACAGTTATTACCAACATAACTATTGTTTAATAGGCTACCTAGGAAAAGAGCAACCAAAAACCAATTTGCTCAGTGCTGATTTGTCCTAGTAGATACCTGCAACAAACCAACAGCAAGTGACCAAGAGAAACAATATCTGAAGATCTAGGCAAAGATCAACTAATTGTAAAAATAAGTTGTTTCAAATGATAGTCAAAGACATGGAAGTTTGCAAGTGACTTCAACTAAAGCAGTGGTATCACCTTCCAACTCCTCTTCAACACAAGTAGTACCACAAAGCTCACATGTAAGAATAATTTTTTCTTGGTTCTTCCACACTTGCTAAATATGTCTGTGCCATTCTGTCCCAGATAACTTGTTTTTAGCATGTTAGCATACTGGTATTTCAAATCCTCTTGAGCTGTGTAAGGAGAGAATGCTTAAGAGAACAACAGGTAAGGAGAGCTATGAAAATAGGCACTGTACCTAACTGGTGAGATCTTCCATCCCCTAGTGGGTATCTCTGGTACCGTGGGACACTGAATGGAGGCAGGAGATGGAATCTTTTCTCCAGCAATGGTTCAAGTCTGCAGGCAGAGGGGTCAGCAGAGTGAAAGAAACTGTACACTTGGCTGCAGGCTGGGCGGACCTGGCATACTTGGATGAGAATGAGACAGAGAGATAGAGTTCAGTATTGCCCCTTTACAATTTTCAAGGAGTCTATACAGAAATATAGTCAACATGGTCTTCTGTAAACTCCAGACTAGCATACATCTGGCCCCAAGAAATTTAACTAAATGGTTTGCTATTCTGTATGTAAAGAACACTTGGCTGCAAAGGAGTTTAAAGAGACATCACAATCTGAGATGTAGGCACGTAGCAGACATGAAGACCAGCCAGCGAAACAGACAAAGGTAAGGAACAAAAAAGAAGTTTTAAAATCTTGTAAATATATCACTGAGCATTACACCTATGACGCTCAGCACTTGAAATATTTACCAGCAAAATGGTTTGATGGGCCTGTTAGAGGACTTAAATCTAGGTGACAGCAGGAGCAGGCAGGTGACAGAAAGCACGGCGGTTTCTGAAGTCACCTTATGGAAGCTAATGAATAGAAATGAGGTTGGTCATACTGCTACAGCAAAGCAATGTTTATGATTCTTGTTGAAGGTGTGCAGCCCTGAGGGTTTGAGGCTGCCACTGTAAATGCAAATCTGAAAATCACTTACTCAGCTAATAAGGCATTCTTTTGACTAAACACATAGCACGGAAGCAGAACTTATACTCAGATGGGTGATCACACAAGACTGCTAAGGTCTGTAAAACGGTCGGTGTAGTCACTTCTCACCACATCACACTTCAATCACACTGAATCTTGCCAGTGCAAGCAAATAAATTCATTATGGGCTCTTTAAACTTAGTAAGGTTTGTCTAATACTGCATTACATGTTACAACAGTCAGTTTAATAACTACAAGAGTAAAGGAATGACTAGAGTATTTAAAAAATATGTTTAGGAATATTATGTCTGCTCCCCACAAACTCCACGGAAGCAAGACAGGTTTTCAAGTCTGCTGTGCTGTGCAATAAACCCTAAAGTTCTTTAGATAGAATTACTGTTTCCTTGTGGCGATAACAAAAAATCTGGTAACACGTATGACGTTTTTCCTTAGAAGACATGTTTGGTACAGCACTGTTCCACTGTCAAACACACGCTTAACTGGAAACCATAAAGAAGGATGTAAGTTTTAACATAAGGTGTCATGGAATATTGGATCTAATGGAGTCTATCTTAAGTGACATCTCTCACCAGAGCACCATTATGGAATTAAAAAAAAAAATATCAAAACCACACTGCTTAGGTTCTTTCTCATTTTAAAGAACAACAGTAAAGGTATTTGTACATAAGCAAAACTACAATGAGCAAACTTGATGCTGTACATCTGCTGCTGCTGCAGTCGCAGAGTCACTAAGAACTACATCAGAAAACACTACCTTCTTATAGGTTTTCTTAAGTGCATTCCATGTTGCTGGAAGAACTCCAAAAATGTATGTTCTGGTGCTTGCTGCTATTAATAGTATATAGGGACAAATCTTGATATAGACTATGTCGATATTATCAAGTTCTAAGCTTAAAGAAATTGATACTGAGTTGTAATAGCAGCATTGCCATAAGCAGGTCAGAGCAATAATTCGTTTTGTTCTGCTCTATAGGAATTTTTGTTCTATAAAGGCTACAGCACAGGTACATAATGTTTTTTTCTTAAACTAGTAAGACAATTAACCTTTTATATCATAGTAAAAACCTTCTCAAGATACTTAAATTATGACAATGAATCACATCCATGGGGACCACTTTATTGCATGTGCCCTGTGCTAAACTGTCTAGGAGACTTATCTTCACATCATGAAGATGTCAATACTCAGCCTCTCAAGAAATGCTCTGGGACAAATCTTCCAGTAAGAATGTACCTACATATGATCCAGTTCTGCCAAACCATGAACTTTTTTCTTCTTTGGTCATGCAGTGTGTGTTGTATTTTACATTCACCGACTCCCTCTAAGAATGGTGCAACATCTCTTTAATTCTGCAGGATTTTTGTCACATAAAGTGAACAACATGAGTGTCTTTTGAGGGCATTAAATGAAGATTTATGGGTTCTTTTTTCCCCCCCAAGCTCTCCTTGTAAAACACTTTGAGACTGTTATCAGTGGCAATTACCAGGTTTCCAGCAGCAGGATAACCAAAACCCACTTTTGATGTCTGTTGTATGTTGACTTTTCTAGAAAGGATGGCTCTGTGCATCAATCAGCACATCTGGTAGCACATGAAAAGAAAGTGGGAGACAGTAAGACTGCTTGTTGAGGACACTATAGAATCTTATCCCCTTTCCCACTATCAAATAAATAGGAGCTTCATTCCACCTTTGTCTCTTTCCCACCATTAAGCCAGCCATATGCAAAAACTATGGCCTGTAAGATTCTTCTGTGAAGTACCTTTCTACACTTCTCCAGGAACCACTATCTACTACCCTTTTTTCTTAACATTTTCTCCAAGTAGAGTACAAAATGTGCCCATCAGTTTACTGTGCTGTGAAAACCGAGTAAATTCTCCTATGTATTCCAGTTAACTGCATCACAAGAGAAGCAGAAGGGAAACACTAGCAAGACTGCAAAGATCCAAAACTACTTTTGACGGCTTTCTTCAAGCTGTATTTTGTTCTTAACATCTGCCAGAAAAAATGGAAACAGGTCACCTGTGTGAGCACATTTAAGCACAGCCAAAATTAATTCTTTGCAAGGAAAGCATAATTTTCTTGCAGAACCCTAATAGTGTGAACGGCATTCTGTGAGGTAAAGTATTGCACTGCATTAAATTAAAATCATATTTCGGCAAGCCTATAACTTTGACGTATGTTTTTAGAGATCTAGTGCTTATAGAGTAGTAAACAAGATATTATCCTACCAAACTAGAGCTTCCTTCCCAAGTGGGTTGTATATTGGTTTATTGTTTCTTTCTCATCATGCTTAATATTAACTGTCAGAGCCAAACATAAAGGAAGTGCTTAATGTTATTAAATCACTTTTCTAATTGCACCTTCTAATACTTCTTGTACAGGAACACTTCTGTATATTTCTGCCTTTTGTATATCATGGAAGGCAGATAAATACAAAGAAACCAGGAACACAAACAGCAGGGTCATGAAAGTTGTCAGCATAGGGCAAATGATGATATTTAATGGCAACAAGAAAGCATATCCTCTGAGTTATCAGCTGTTTTCATACCCCTCTTCCAACTTGGCAAAGGAATACATCACGTTCCAAAGGAGATTACTTCCTACTACTGTGGCATTTCGCAGCATTACTTCCCATCGAAAGCGAGGGCAAAACACCCACCACTAGAAGCATCCTAAGGCAGAACAGTGCCATTTTGTGGGTGTAACTAAGTGCACATGATATATTCGGAATTCTAAAAAACATCAACATTTTCATAGGGAAACATGCCTCTTCCAAGGATAATCAGCACACAGAGAGTGGAAAAACATGGCAGACACACACAAATCATAGAATCACAGAATCATCTGTTCAGCCAGGCTGGTCTTCTGCCCTTCCGGCTCGTCTTGTGGTTGACTGGGACAGCCTGCTCCTGGGCTCTGAAGATTTCCCTCTTGAGAATTGTCCAGGCTTCCTGGACCCCTTTGCCTTTCAGGACCAACTCCCAAGGTCCCCTTCCAACCAGTCTCCTAAGAAGGTTGAAGTCTGCCCTCTGGAAGTCCAAGGCAGGAGTTCTGCTGACCCCTCTCCCTATGGCTTCTGTGACTGAAAATTCTATTATTTCATGGTCACTATGTCCAAGACAGCCTCCAACCTTAACAGTGTCAATGAGTCCTCCTCTGTTGGTAAACAGCAGGTCCAGCAGGGAGCCTTCCCTGGTTGGTTCCCTCACCAGCTGTATCAGGAAGTTGTCTTCCAGACACTCTAGGAATCTCCTGGACTGTTTCCTCACTGCTGTATTCAAATTCCAGCAAATATCTGGTAGGTTGAAGTCACCCACAAGAACTAGTGGCTGTGATTGTAAGACGTCCCCTAATTGTTTGTAGAATATTTAATCTACATCTTCTTCCTGAGTAGGTGGTCTATAGCAGACTCCCACTGTGATGCCAGCCCTATTGGCCTTCCCCCTTATTTTGACCCACAAGCATTCTACCCTTTCATCACCATCGCTGATCTCCAGACATTCAAAACCCTCCCTAACATACAGCGCAGTACAGTCGAATGATCAGTACTTTAAAAAATAAGAACTAAGACTAGACAGTGGGAGGACTTCAGAACCGAGTGCTAGGGGGTAACCAGAAGAACTGTCAAGGAAGCACTAAGGGGCCAACAGAATACTCAGCAGAAGAGAATTATAAGGCATTTGGCAAGGAAATAAAAAATTGGAATGAAGATTTGGGTTTAGCCACACTCTTATTAGTGTAAAGATAAATATTCAGAAAGTAAAACACGACAAAACACATTGTTCTGCAGACAGAACAGGCAAATCTCTGGATATAATTTTCTTTCCTTTTATTTTAAAACCTTACTCTAACAAAACAAAGACATAAAAACATCCTGAATTTTATTTCTCACATTTCCAGGTAGCTTTTTACCTTGCATTTCAGTAAAAAGGGCACTCGACTCTTCCCACCTAACTTCCAACTGTCTGCATCATAGGTTTCAACTTGTCTGTTTTCCTCTCAAATGTGCTATAATTATAACTTAAAAATAGGATTCTCTTATCATATGTACCTCTAAAGACTCATTATGCTTCAGGTAGACTCTGCTCACCTTGGAATGTGTTTGAAATGCCAGTCAGTTGAGCTGCTCTCAAAGCATGCTCCCTGTAGGATACCAGAGGCAGGATGGAAGCGAGAACTGATTTGAAGAGAATAGCTTAAAATACTAGTAATTAATGTGAAATTTTCCTGTCAAAGTGTCTGAAGGGTACCAAAGCTGAGATTGGGGAAAGAAGGACTATTAGCTAGAGAGTTTAGAAACATAGTCTCGGTCCAGTAAAGCATTTAAGCATTGAAATTTGCCCCATCTATACCTATATCCCATTTTTTATAGTTATCTCATTCATCCACTATAAATTTAAATATAAGAAGAGAACTTTGACCTGTGCACAGAGTTGCCACTAAAATACAGAATGACTCAGATGTTGTGTTTGCTCTTTGCTTTCTAGTATCTAAAGGTAAAAACGTAATGCATGGTACGTTGATATATTCCAAAGTGGTAACAGGAACACTTGCTATGCAGAAGAGCTTGCTCTAGATTCCTGTAGCAAGTGGCAAACTGTGGAATAGACACATTATCTTGCACCAATCTTATCAGTTTCGCTGTCCATAAGCCATGTCTCAGACATCTTGCTAAAGGAAGCTAGGAGAACCTAAAGACATTGTGTCTTCTCTTTACTGATACATTCTCATCAACAAAGGGCAAGCACATACAGCAATCAGAGTTGTGGTAACCTTCAGAAATTGCCTTGCTACCAGTCAGGGAAAAGCTGTCTCTTCTTCTCCTCTTGCCTTGCAGCCTTCCCCAGTATACAGAGACGAGTTTCAAGCTCAAAATAGCACTATGGCCTCATCGAAAACATAGTCAAAACATGGTAAGTCACTTTGTTTTTAAAATTATCACCTGAAACAAATCCCAGTATAGCCTCATTTTCACCTTGTTTACCTACATACTAAATACTAAGCGTTCACCAACATACTAAATGTTCACCAGTATAGCATCCATTTTCACATGCTTTACCTGGATTTTCGACAGGGAAGAGTTACAAATCAACTCGCAGAGCTTTCCCTGTCCTAGTGACCCCAGTTCACAATATAAGGTTTCAGGAAGGCAGCTCTCACCTCCATGCATCCAACATTACTTCTAAAGGGCACATTTATATGGCCAACAGTGACTTTTAAACATAATTGTCACACTTCTGAACACATAAATGCTGTCATACGTGGCACAACATTCAAGGGAAGACTTTCATACTGCACAGGGAATTACACACAAAACCTGTATCATTTCAGAGCAATTCCTTTTATAAAAAGTCACAATTCCATTAAGTTTTCACACATTTTCAATACATGCGTATGTTCCCTTGAAGCGAAATGTGGATTTCACTTGTGCTCATCAGGACTGACTGATGGGAGGGCTCTCCACACACAGCCAACTTCTGACAGCCACCACTGGCTATAAGAAAAGACGTGTCGACGTCTGCCACTGAGGCACTCACACCAAACACTGCCAGTATTTTCTATGTACTTTGCAGTAACTGGCATCTGCTAATCAGCACTTGTCCTCAAAGACTCTAAAAAGGCACCTAATGAGCCAGATGCATGCTCTATTTCGTATGTGATTCCAGAGTAAACGCGTCTGTTCTGATTCATTAAATGGAAATCATGACATCTTGAAAACATACAAATTCTAGCTCAAAGAGTTTGAATCCCTGCACAGGAATTAATACTGATAGATTTTTCCACATGAAGTCCTACAAAAAAAAACCCTCAACTCCCTGCCCCAAACCCCCAGCAAAGCCCCCACCATCTTCAGAGGGAAGTGTTGCTAATTGTGTAAAGAAATCCCTAAGATGGAAAAACTAATGGCAGAGCAGTTTTCAAAGCCAGCCATCACCTATATAGTTTTTGCTCATTTCCCTGACAGGTCTTTTGCAGAAGCAAAAAGCCTTAGTTTGTACAGAAATATACATGAATTCCCATTCTCTTTAGCTGGGCTTTGTGTGTTGTTTTGGTTTTTTTTCATTTGAATGAAACTGAGTACTGCTAATATGGGGAATGAAATGCAAAATAGAAGTTTAATTATGCTCTCTTGTAAATACATGGAACTTGCTAAAAACATCCTATCAGATTTCTAAGGGTTCTGAAAAACATGAGTTTGGTAATTTTTTAAATTATTTTTATTAATTAATTATGGCAGGTAAAATAATTTTCAGTTTACATTACATTCCACTTTATTCCCGCAATCAAATGTGACTTTGAAAGCTCAGTCAAATGACATTACTCAAAAGTCTATAAATTGAGAAGAAAAAAAATGAGAGTCCTGAATTGTTGTCTCTTTTCACTTTTGCAATTGAGTTTTCTCCCTCTCCTGATAAACGAACATATCATTTCCCACAAAGATGCTGTGCTATCCAAACCTCTTACAATGCAAAGAAGCAAAATGCACACCGAATTTTGAAAGTAAAGTAAGCCCTTACTTTAACAGAAAAACTGAAAAAAATCCAAATGTATTTACAAATAAAGCCAAAAAATCCTCTGTGTCTGATCACTAGGCTCTGTTACCAGAGACGAAGAAATGGCTCACGATCAAAACACTCAGGGGCCAAATTTACCCATGAAGCCAGACACAAACAAGATGCAATGCTGAACCAAGCACAGATGTTATTTTTGGTATCTTTTTCAAGGACTGATCCTTGGTGAGGTGTAAGCTTCATGTTGTATGACATGGAATATATGATTAACAGCAGAGCAAAAGACACTACTGGTGTGTAAATGGGTGAGTAGTGACACCCCTGGAAAAACCCTCATCACCTCAGTACTTACCTACACTAACAGTCCCATCTTTTCAAGGAAGACACTTACCTCACTCCCCAGCCTTTAATTAGGCTCCTTTATTTATCTCCTTTTTTATGAGCTTCTTTGTTTACAGAGGTCATTAAGCAGCCTGTGGTCTAACCCCAGAAGGAGCTTACCATCCAGGCCAGGCAGAACAGTACTCCTCATGGCCAGCACCAATCCAAGCGGTGATCCAAAGAGGAAGAAATCGGACACCTCAAACTCAAATCGGCCCAGGTTTACTTCTGAAAGACTGGAATTCACAGGAGGAAAGTCTGCACCATCTTTCAACACGCTTGCGTGGATGCTGAGCAAAGAAAATGCACTGATTCAACAATAATGAAGAGAGCATCCAGAGAAAAAAATCCATTCCCAAAACAGACTGCTTAGAAAGCTCCAGCATCTGGATCTAGGTCCAAGCAATGGGCCTTCAACTGTAGATAGATATTGCAGTATAGCAGCCACTTATCATGATCTCCAGCGTGGCTATTCAGTAAATTTGCTACCTTCAACACACAAGAGTTTTCTACAGTTATTCTATAGAATACTTGTCGGTACATTATGCAAGGACTCTGAAGATGGACGTTCGCCTCCCCTCCCTTTTAGCAGTACAAATGTACATAAGCTTATGCTGAAACTTTGGCTACAAATTCTAACCTACTCAAGCTGTATAAGGACAATGGTATTAAAAGGTTACAGTAATAAGGTATGTTACATGGGTACATAAAAAACGCCGTTCTAATCTGTTCCCTGAGCTATGAACTAGAATTTCACTACTTTTCATCTATTGATTACAGGTTAATATTAGTGATGCTTATAGACAGCTTTTAATGTTTTAAGTGACTTAAATACTTTCATTTACTTTGTATGCCATACATGCATGAGGTACAGATCACTGAGAGAAAAAGACTCATTTAGTTCTGCTGGAGATTAAATAACTGCATTCAGAAGCAGAGAAGTAACATATACACCTGCTGTCCAGTCATGAGACAGAGCAGAACATGCCTCCAGAGTGTGCAGAGCCTGACTGAGAGATGCTGATGACGCTGACTTCAACCAGAGCGGTAACTGAAGCCCTCATGAGTTATCTGCACACTACACTCTGCATCAGCGGCTGAGCATGGACCAGAACCCAGAAATCCTGAAGACTGGTCTCAAATCAGGCCAAGACACCAGGCCTCTCTTTCAATCTGAGAACCTAGCAACATTCTCAATTTATAACCTGATGCTATTAACTGAAACTCCAAGGACCAAACTTAGGGCCCTTTAGGGTAGAAACGAAGAGAGTCAAGAATTAAACCCATCATTGGCACAGCAATTAGGAGTTACCTCTCTATGCCAAAAGCACTTGGACAAAAAGCACAAGTTGACGCACTGAAACATAACCACATGGTAAAGGACAAGGACATTTCTGTGGGAAAGAGCAATCTTTCTAACCTCATTACTCACACTGACACACCACCTCTAGATTGCAGTAAAGGAGCTCCTGGAGGAAAAAAAGTCTTAACAATCTTACGCGAGCCTCACAGACAAGAAACCAAAGGCTTGGGATCTCTCTCTATGGACAGGATGGGTCAGAGGATGACATGGTTTGGTTTGATTTGTGTTTCTTTCCCCTTTCTTCACCTTACCAAATAATTTTTTCTGCTGTCTTTGGCCTGTTGTTTGTCCACTCATTCTTCAATAACTTAGCAACATCCTAAAGTTTGAGGAGTCCAAAATGTGAATGGAAGATAATGCTTTTCTATGTTTGCTTAAATATAGCTGCATGCAAAGCTTTCAGCTTAAAATCACAGATACATAGGAAATGGAAAAAGGCTTGGAAGAAAACAGTTATCTTTGTCTTTTAATTATCTTATTATCCTCCAAGTCTGAAGTGCTTTATACAAGCCAACACTGCACTTTAAACATAACACAGTAGTCCTTCTATGCAAGAACTTAAAAGTGACCAACTAAAAAAGTCTTCATGTTTTCAGTCGTACATAAGTGAAAAACAATCATTCTGCCTCAGAGGGAAGACACTTCACAACATACTGATATCCAGAAAACCCAATGGTTTGAAAGCAAAAGCAGAATAGTTAACAAAAGCAAAGCAAAGTATCTTCAGTCAAAGCAAGAAGATAAAATTACCTTAAACTGCTACTAACAAAACTGCCAGACTTGAAGTAAAGCGCAGTAGTAAGTCTGTACTATACTTAACCGTAGCAGAACTGAAACTTCAACATACAATAAGACTTCTCCCTCTGCATCACTCCCAATGAAATAAAGGAAATAAGATGATAGATAGAGGAAAGAAAGCACAAAGATTCAGATAAGTAAAAAACAAACAGCTTAGAACAGGCAGAGACAATGAGACAAAGGGAATGCTAATTAAGTTAACTCTCCTCCCCCAACCTCCTCCTCATTTAAGATAAATGTTTATGCAGATTTTTTTGTTGTTTTAAAGATGATTTGAATAGCTCAAAGACCAATGGGAGCACATAAAATAATTATCTCACTCTCTATAGAATAGCAGAAAGTCTGTTAAGTGAAGCCAGAGGGATCTTTAGAAAGAAAAATGTAACAGAAATTTAGAATTATAAAGCATTTGTCCATCTTAATTTGTGTGGGCTGCACTGAAGAAACAGAACTACTCGCATTCAGTTTTGTATATTCAAAACCCTCACAACTGAATAAAGGTTTAATAAAAAACTCTCCACGTGTAAGTAAGTTCATACTAGACCCACTGTATCTATGGTTTTCTTTGAGAGGTATACAGGGGCTTTAAGCAAACCTCCAGAAACACACCACAAACAAAAAAAACCCGATTCTGTTGCTCTGGTGCTGACAGGCTCCATTCTATGGCAAGGCTATTTCTTGTGCTCAGTTATACACACTAGTTACCTAGACAGGAGAGCATGATGTTGGGTTACGGTATCACAGTCATAGGTGGATGAGTCGCTCTGTTTCCTAGGCAACGTCTGCCTCGGCTTCTCATCCTCCACGATTCCCGAGATGTCAATATTGCTTTTGCTCAGGCGTTTGCTGCCACTCAGACTGGAGTCCTCTGCTAAGAGGGGATTATCCTTCAGAGAATGAACAGAGCAAAAGGAAGATTTAGACAGTGACCAAATATGACAGTTTATATTAAATGGTTGCACTTGTACATTTGACCTCGCTTTACCCAAGAAAGGGTGGAAAAGGTTAGACTTTCTCTCTGCAGTAGAAGGTAAGCAAAGAGATGAAGACTAAATTTCCCTGTAAAATGTATAGCCTAAAAGCTGGAAGGAGAATCAAGAATTTTGGGGGCGGGGGGGAAGAGAAGTAACACAAAAGCTGTATCCCTCATGACTTCATCATTCTTAGAGAACTGTAAATATCATAAGGTGATCAGAAGGGGTCTTACCTGAGTGCACAAAATGCCCATTACAACTATTAATGATCCTGCTCATCATGTTCCATGGATGTGGGACCTGATTTTTTTAAGAATGCGAACTTCTGCGGGATGCAAGAGGAGACCAGTGGTACCATATCTTTAAGGTACCCCTTAAAATAGGAAATAGATTTATTTATTGTTCATTTTCTCCAGCACTTCTGCAGCTCACACCAGCATCCTCCCTAACATATCCCTATTACCCCCCGACTTTTATTCCTGCATCCATTTCAGTAGCCAATGCAAAGGCTGCTTTTCAAAGCAAACACCATTGGACTGAATCCCCCCATTCATGCATGCAATCTGCATGCATGAGGCATTAAAGATCTGGTTCTTCCTAATAACTCTGTAATCCATTTTGGTGTAAATTTTCCTCTATTCAGATCAACAAAGTAAGACAGTGCAAAAATGCCTGTCATGTATTTTTACAAAACTTCAAAGATACGAACATCAACAAGGCACACTGGGAGAACAGATACAGTTAAATCCCTCCGAATGGCCTAATTACTGGTTTTCATCCATATTCTACTGACTCTTACAATGCAGTACTAGAATTCATGGGATGACAGGATACAACTAGCATTAGCATCTTATTAACTTGCAGAAGGCTAGTTTAGGACCAGCATGTTCGGACAATTATTCCTGTGATGGTATAATGAAAAAAACTTAACATGCACGTAGGAATCTCTTTCTGCATTTCATAGTAATGGAGCAAAACTCACATCATGCCAACTTTCACATGAAAGTTGTGTAAGAACTAGAACCTTGCTTGGCATAATACTAATAATACCTACAATGGTAAAACTAAGTCTCATTTCCTGTAGTTGTTAATGAGTGCAGAGAACTATTTCACAGGGCCAGGGAGGAAGCGAGGGCTCCTGCTTCGTGTTGGCAGCTGACTGCCCCCACCATTTCGTGTGCTAAAGTGTTGTAAAACCAAAACAAAGTCTCCACCTAAAATATGTGCTTCCATTGAGTTCAAGCCAGAAACAACTAGAGGCTCTACTTGTTTGTTTTTCTTATGTAACCAATAACTTTTTTTTCAGCCTGACACTGACTCTCTGTAGCTTGATTTGCCTTGCAATTTACCACCTTACATTGAAGCTATTATAACATCAGTCCTTTTTAGCAATCGTTATTTATTCTCTAGAACACCAGGGACATTTCAAAGCCAAAATTCCTATAACCAAAGTGCTCCTGACAGTTTCTTAAAGGGTAACTTTTTATAGGTGAATTCTCAAAAACATACATGAACAACATTTATCTGCTTATCAGCAAAGGTATGAGTTCCAATCTCTAGCTTGTTCTCAAGCAACAGTGCCATGAAAATGCAATATAATTATGATTTTAAATTGTAACTTGCATGCTACAAATATTCTGCAACCTTTGCCCAAAATTCCAATTTGGTGTTTTTACTATGAATAAATTTATTAGAGTGCATACAAATATTCATGGAGGCACACAAAATGGAGGTGAATCTACATACATGTAGCTGGAAGAGAATTTTTAGAGATTCAACCAAAGCCCATGAAATGCACTGACAAATCCATTTATTTAAATGGGCTATAGGTCACCTCGGCTCCCATTACTTTTTAAAAAGGAATTTCTGTCAATGGATTGAGAAAAATGGGAACCCTTAAAGGTGGCAGAACAAGAAAGTGGATGCAAGGAACTCAACATGATTAAATATTTTTGTTTAGGTCTCTTGATTTCCTGGTGGTCTCAGGAAGAAGGCTGGCTGTTGGAAAGGCACAGAGTTGACAGTAATGTAACACCAAACACAATTCTTTTAGTCACACAAGTTTCTCCACAGTATTTAAAAAATGGCTTGTGTCGCCACAGAACTAGCTAAGAAGACATTTTAGTAATGGAAGTTAATATATTCATCCCTGAAAGCTGGGATGGCACAATTCACCTTTGTCCTCTAAGCTTCAATAACAGGTTCTCCTTGCAGTGGGTGTGTTCTTCTCTTGTGTCGTAAGACAATCTCAGGTCAAATTTTGCATGAGTTTGACAGTCTTGGAACAATAATGTTTGGGAAACGCATCAGCCTCCCTCTTCTGCACTGCTATCGCTAAGGTTAACCTAGCATACCCAGCACTTCAGTTGTGCATGTTGATTTACTGGGCACAACATTTCTGTAAGAGACACAGTAGTAGAATGCTGGCTGTTTGGGGTTTTTTGAGTGTTTTTTTGTTGTTGTTTTTTGTTAAAACTCTAGAAAACTAAACATCACCATAACACAACATGGCACGTTATTAATCCACTTTCTTTGGTCAAAATCAACACATTTTAAACTTGATTTTCTATGGGTAAAACTCAGGTCTTCCAAAGCATAAATGCCACAGACAGCTTAATGAGTGAAGAAAAAAGTAGTTTTAGAAGGACTAGGGACTAGATCTCTGTGAGACAACCCTAGGGATGGTCGCAGGGAAAACGGCTAGGCATTGTACAAGAAAGATTCAAAGTTGTTCTTTTCCGTGTTGCATACCACTCTCTCCCCACACTCATTTACAATTTCTTCACAACTGCTGCATCTAAAACTCTTCCAATGAAATCCATTTCTACTGGAGACACCAAGGGAGGGGAGTGGGGGTGAAACTCCATTAAAAAAAAGCATCCTTCTGAATATGTTTCACAGAAGCAAGCTGAGAACAATGGACAGAAAGACAAGATAAGGCAGGAAAAGAATACTTAGTTCTTCTGAAAGCACAGAGTAGTAGAGATGAAGATGGGAGGAGAAAAGGGAACAGATGGAGAGAGGAATGGGAAGAGCAGCTCTGTGGTATCAAGAAAGAGAGGAACACAGGAAAGTTGAAGCTATAAAAGCAGGGAAGCCAAAACAACCTATACTCCCTAAAGCCTGATCCCCACTCTCAGATTCATCAGCAGCCATGGCACAATCAACCCCACTGTAGGACTGAGGTCCAGGAGGACCATTTCTCCATTTACTTTGCTTGCAATGCACTGTCCTCAGTGCTGGTACTATCAAAGGCTGGCTGCTGAGAATCCAGAGTCACGTTACTAACGGTGAGTAAATCTCCTTCCTGGAAACATTTAGAGGATGTCTCTTTGCTCTACAGTACTCCCATCACACATAGCTCTCAAATAAACCAAGCAGGTTGGTATCACTGAGCCCGTTTTTGAGGGGAGAGGTAACTAAAGAGTCAAGAGATGAAACAATTTGGCCAGGGTCACAAAACCATCAAAGAACGGAGCGTGGGCACCTCACTCAGTGCCAGCTCTAATACACCACATTGCCTCTCCATACCCACTTGAGTCTGAAGCACATAAGATTAGTGGAACTTAAATTTTCTTTCTTAAGTGTTGAACACGGTAATGAAGTTTACATGCTAGCATTACTTTAAAAAATTGTGCTTTTACTATCATAAAATCTTTCCTGGATCACAGTTAGAATTAATCCTCTCTTCTCTCCATACATAGCAATCATATAGACACTGTTATGGCTCAGTGGGCCATTCACAGATCCTCAGGTGACTTGCATTCCTTATCAGGAAGAAGGCATTCTTTCGCCACTCACTAAAACTTATTAATGAACACATCTTAATGTTAGACTAACCCCAGGCAGTAGCGTAAGGAGTTCCAAACCCTATGTGAACAAACAAAAAAATTATAAGATGACAGATAAAAGATTTTGGCAAAAACCAGGAGCCTACCAGAGATTGGTGAGAGAGGGCATGTTTGCATCTACAGTTATGGATACAATAAAGGGCATTTGGTAACCCTACTTTAAAGATTTACAGATACAGCCTTCACTAGTGATTTCTCTATTATCATAAATCTGAAGCTGCAGACTTAATTTTCAGACAGCAATTTTTTGAGCTGTCTGAATTTTTTGAGCTCATGAGCACATGAACAAAATCCTGTGCTATCGTGGCCATTTACCAAATCCTTAAATTTTCTCTGGTTTATATGGAGCTGATTTCCTCCAGGGAATGAATCTATAGGGTTCCAGCTGTGTGGATTTTTTCTCTTCACCTGGATGCTGCTGATGCTTCCTCTCCTGCTACTGTTCCGACTCTCATCAGCTGTATTAGAATTATAGCAGATGGCATCAAAGCCCAAAATTCCTCCAACGCAGTCACCAATGAGACACACCTGAGGAAACAAAAAGATTTTTGGGGGAAACGTAGCACGTGTTTTAAAGGAAACAAAAAACATCACAGCACTGCAGAGGAGTTGCTGTCTTACTTTACACTCTCGTTCCTGTTTTTTTGCACCTTGGTTCCTATTGCAGCTGAGAATACATAGCCACTTCTACCCACTTCCTTTTATCTCCAGACATAAACCCTATGACAAGAATATGCCCCAGGGACGATTCTGACCAGCTGTGAGTTCTGCCAAATAGGCTAGAATTCTTCCACCTGCTTGCAGCCAGATTCCAGCTCGAGAAGTCCAGATCACCAGACAACCAGTCTCACAAAGGTCTCAAGCCACTTAACATTTCTTTCAGTCGTATAGGGAAGAGGATCTCAACAGATTAAAAACAGTTTGGTACTCCCCTGTTAGGACAAGGGAACAGAACTTTTAAATAAGGTATTAAGCAGAGAGAGACACTCTTGCTTCACACTTAACATAAACATACAAGCTACCTTCAAAGTATGGACCTGGGAATTGAAATACATATTGTACTAAAATTGAGAATTCAATAGTTGGAGTAATTTTATGTTGCACTAGAATCTACCTCACAAGCCAATTCCACTGAACATCTCTCCATCCCACAGGAGATGATTCTTTCTCCCTGTCCCCCTGTCTGTGTCTGAGGATGAGTAACAGCTGTATTACCTTTCTCCTTGATAACAACCCCTATGGTTCCACAGGTTCCAGCAACTCTTCCTCTCCAATTTTCAAACTGAAGCAAACATCCAGTCTGTTGTTCCCAGCTCTGATTAGTTTAACAGAAGACATTACCTCTCCTTACAAATCTTAACTTGCTCTAGCCTTAACTCAGCCTGGCTAAAACTACAAGTTTTGGATAACAAGATGTTGTGCATGACTTCTCCATAGTGAAGCACGTTAGGAAAAGTAAGTGCTTCAAGATGCAGGTAGGGAAAAACCTCAAACTTCTCTTAGATGTGGCATCTCCACATACCACACCCTCTTAACTGACTACATTTCTTGAGATAAAAACATTTTAAAATAAAATAAAATAAAATATCAAAATACATTAAGGTAACATCTATCCTAAGACAATTCTGGTTTTAATGCTGTATACAACTGAACAACCAAATTCCTACGTCACGCAATGAAGTCCACAAAGAACTGAAAATTATACGATACAGGTAACCTTAATAAAATTAACAGCATGATTAACAACACGTTTTGTGGGGGATTAATAGTATCTCCTTCAATTTACCATTCCGTGTCTAATCATCATTATTATTGGCATTAAGATATTGGAGTTAACTTGTTCCAAATACTATATAAAACCAAAAAGGCAATCTCTGATCTAATGAGCTTGCAATATAAATGGACAGAAGAGACCAAAATATGAAAGGAAAGATACACACGAGGTGGGGGTCAGGTTATATGGTATGTATTTTAGAAGTATAGTACTTATTCAGAGGTAAAGTTGAGATTTCTGTCTAAGCACCAAAGCAAAGCACTGTAGACAGCACATGTTCATGCTCTTAGTCAGAGCTGTCCCAACTTTTCTATCAGCTATAGCAGGTGTGTGAGGAACTCCGTAAAACAGATTATCATTGGTCTTGGGCTGGCATGCTTGTTCACTGCTTAGCATAATCACACCTACGGCTCAACTAAGGCTCTTACACATTATCAGAGTTTGTAACAACACTTAGTAAGAGCTTAGGAGTTAAAATGCTTGTCGGGGAAAGGTATAGTATCTTCCAACAACTGAGTAAGTCCAGGTTAGATACTGCACAGGATTCCACGAGTGTCTTGCTAGGCACTGAGAAGGCATTTTGCATAGGCAATCCCATGCCAACATTCATTCATCGTATTTGCAGTATTGTTCCACACTCGTAATTCAAAACCCTCAACACAATGGCTTAAAAAGAAACAGCCTTGCTCTGAAGGAATTTTAATTTGATGTAAGAGAAAAATAGTCCTACCTGTCCATTAAAACCAGCCCCATCTGTAGATTTGAGAAATTCATTGTACACTTGATTGGCTCTACTGATCACCATGGCAACTGCATCCTGGTACTGAGGGGATGAAACAGCCAGCAAGGGCAAGGCAGCCAGTGGGATGTGGTCTTCACTGCTGCTGAGACAGCTCTCATCATAGCTGTAGGGATTTAGGCTAGAGAAGGACATGCTATCATCAGGAAAAATGCACGAGGCACCACACAGCATTAGAGAATGAACAGTTACGTATTAACAGAAGTGGGCTGGGCTATTGCAGTTCACAACGAGAGAGTACAAAAAGGATCATTTTCTCACAGAACTCAAGTGCTTAAAAAAATCAGGGAGTTATGCTTTATGTGAATGAGATTATGCTAGAAGGCATTTCTGTAGTTAAACATACTTGGTGTAATTTTTCCATACACAAGTAGACATAATTTAGAACAACAAAGCTATTATTCTGTTCCAGCTTTTTTTTTCTCCCCATATAACTTACTACATCAAAGAATGGGATCCAATCATCACAATGGACTATTGTTTCCTAGAACACAAGTATGACAGATGTATTGTTCAAAAGCATATAAAAACATTCTCCCAGTGTCCTATCCTTTCAAAAAAATGGAACAAAGCTGCACACATTCTGAAATCAAACATAAATGTTTGCATAGTAACATTTTGCAAAAATGAGGACTCGACTGAAAACACAAGCTGAAATTTGACTGGATGTCAGCTTTATTTTAGGATGTGCACCCTGCAAGGTTCTCAGTCCACTTGCCAATCGTGTCTTGACTGATATTTATTGATGAGTGGGAAAAACAACTCACAGCAGCCAAAGATGCAAGGCACATTAGCGTGTGCCAGGTTCTCTTAGAGTAAGTTGACTGTCCTTTAGAGATTAAAGGAAATTCAGAAGTGTTTTGGATAATTCAGATCATCTAAAGCTCATCCAAAGCTGCAGGCAGGCAACTTCAACACTATTTTGTATTCATTTTCTTTAGGAACTTGGTGAGCTATCACAATATTAAAAAGCAAGCTGAAATGGAATTAGTCTATGTCTTTGCTAAAACCTACACCCCTGAGACCATTACCAGGATAATGGAAGACTTGCAACGCTCAAGTATGGAAGCTGGTCTGTGTTCATTCCTGAGCCTCACTGGACATTTTCACATTTGTCTCTTGCTGAAGCACTCCAATAATTTGGTATTTTTCATCCAAAATAGAATAGTAGTTTCTATGTCCTGGAGCTCAGCTGATCTGCCAAGCTGTGTCCATTTACCAATTAACACAGCTTCATTTTGCCAGCTGATTAGACCATGTAAATGCACAGCAGACATACCTATGAATACTAACTCCCAAAAATGAAAAACAAATCTTAAAACCCTACATTAAAAGGCCTCATTTACTATAATAATTGGCAGATGACACCTCAGAAAAGAGAGATGCACAGGAGGAAAAAAAATTATGAAGTGAATGTTTGAAATGGAAAAAAATACCTGCCTATGTTTTCATAATAAAAGTAAAATGAAAATATTTGTAAAAAACAATATTCATAAGAGAACTACACAAAACAGAGTCAATGGAAAATAAATATCTGGTAATTTTATTTTTTGTGGCTAAAGGAATATAGATCAAACTGAAACTGGACAATTGTTTAGACAATCACAGTTAACTGGCTTAGAAATGAGGGTTTGCATTTTTTAATTTCAATTTATTTTATTGTAAAGGTTACAGCCACAGAGACCTCCATTGTTATCGTAGACACAACACAAAAGGAAGCAAGATCTTGACCACTGAAACAGTGTATGGAAGAGATGAAGTTGTTTGTCATAGGGGACATACTAAGTATTAGTGCTGAAGCTGAGACAAATGTAAAATATCAGCACTGGAGCTGAGAGGAGCACAAGTCTTGTCACCTTGATGCATTGGTAGGACCCTGCAGGAGGTCCTTCCAAAGCATCAGCTTGGAAACATCACACTTGCACAAAGGCTGGAAAAGGAAATCACAAGGAAGCAGCTGAAATCATGAAGTGCGAGAGCCTGACAGATAAAGTCACCAGTCCCTGGCAAAAGGCAGCAAACGGCTAGGCTGCAAGACACAGCTGGTCCTCCATGGTGGGTAACAGTACACCTAGCTCCCAGGGGAGAAGCGACTGATGGCACAGTGGCATCTGTCAGCAGGGATAATAGACTACACCATGGAAATGAGGGGTGAGAGGTTATTCAACCCAGGAAGGAGGGGAGAGGAAAGAGGTACAAGGGAATAAAAGCTTATTCTGAATGTAGAAAGCATGTGGCTAGATGTAGATCGAGACAAAACACTGGTCCCTCCTCAAAGCTTCCTCAGATCAACAGTCCCTGACCATGGCAGAGGTGAACAGAGAAAGGAGAGGGTGAAATCACCCATATGGTAACACTTGTTTGGATAACTGTCACACAATGGTTCTCTGACGTTCACAGTTTGGCCATCTGCACTCCATGCTGACAGCCCCAGGGACTTGCTATTGCTGTTTCTGAACGCCATAATATACATTTACTTTCTCCACTTTCAGGACAAAAGCAAAATAAGGAATAGAAAAATACTCAAATCATAACGACTGGACTTCTCCATACACTTTCTAAGTAAATTATAAAAGTATTTTAAAAAATGGATCAGGAAATTGCAGGACCCACCACTGTACAAGGAGTACGCAAGCGGCTGAGCACCCCGAACTCATTCAACAAAACACTTTCATCTTATTTGATTATTCTTATGCTTACCTTCCTACTTAAGTGCTTCCTAAATGCAATTTTTGTTTTGGCCTGTTTTCCCCTCCCTTAAATTTGCACTTACTGTTCTTCAGTTTGGCTAATACTTTAATTTAGGAGCTCTAATCTGAGGTGTGAATCAATGTATGCTCATCAAATCATATGCTATAAAAAGCATAACAGTTGATCCACTCTGGGGTATTATTCTCCCTGAAAAGGGAAGAGACGGCTCTTGAGTCATCTAGCTGGAACAGATCAGATTAAACAATCTCAAGCGTTTACTCGATGGAGTGATTTTGCCCTGAAAGATCCCTTTCCTTTAAGCTGCTATTTGCAAGGCAGGGAGGAGAACTGCATAGGTGCGTTCAGATGAAGAGTCCCAGTGAATCCCTCTGATCCCAGGCACTCAGCACACAGACACAGCAGAATTCAAAATCCATGCCAAAGTAAACAGAGGGTTGTACCACCTTGACATGCACTACGCCTGCACGTTCAGAAAACAGAGGATACATTCGAACCAAACAAGAAATCTTATGCTGCTGCTTCGTCAGTCATCTGGCTTGCCCTCAAAGAAACATTACGGTAATTAACAACACACTTTCTCCCCCACAGCTTGCTAAATGGAATGTTTACCACGAGTTTATGCTCCACAACTGCATCCTGGAACTCTGGCTGTGAAAGCTGCTGGCATGAAGCTACAGAAATGTGAGAGCAGGGAATGATGTCTCCTTCGGCAGCCCCAAATGGGTACATCACAAGCAGCTCCATGCAAGAACATACCAAAGCAAAAAAAACCAAATTGATTTTTGGGGGTCAGATTGGGGGGGGTGGCAGGGAAGGAAAAGTTAACTTTTATCATAGTTTTCTTCTTCTGTTCAGATTTCTTCTGGATTTTTTTTTTTCTTTTGTATGCATGTGGGCAATAGGCTGTACATCACCATGAGCTTTTTGTTTTGTTTTGTTTTGGTGGTTTTTTGTGTTTGTTTTTTTTTTAAACAAATACATTCACTTAGAAAAGGATGAAAGATCATTCCAAGTCTTGCAGTAAGCAAAGGATTCATAACAATTCCTTAAGAAAAAGACAGCTCACAGAAAGCCATTCAAAACCCCACTGCAAAGCCAAACATTAGAAAATACAAATCAACTTACTTGGAAACAAGGGAGAAGGCTGCTGAACAAATTGCTGGGCAGGGAACAAGTCTGATTAAGATGTGGCCCAAAGCGGCAGGGAAATGGGCTCGGGTCACTTTCTCAAACACAGAACTGAAGGTGTTGATGTCTGCCAGCTTGCTGCTGTGGTCCCCACCTCCAGTGTCTAAGATGTTCCCACCATGTAGGATCAAAATTAGCACATGAGTTTTGCAGTTCTGGTGTTGAACTGCCTCCTGTGAGAAAAACAGGGAATAAGAAGGGAGGAAGCATTTTTATGGACAGTGTTGGTATACTTGGTGCCAACATTCACAAGCAGTTAGCATGATTCTTTTCTCCCCCTCCCCACTATGATCTTTTTGCAATATTTGCCTTCACTGAGGGGGGTGGGTGTGTATGTGCACCTTGTGTTTCATTTAATTCAAGTATGTCTGAACCAGGTAGAGCACACTGCTCAGCCAGAAAACCCTTGCAGCACAGGTGCAGGTTTCAGATCAATAAAGATTATAAACAGCTTTGTGAACATCAAAAGCTATTTTACACACAGAGATTGGAGAATTCCAACATCCACAGACAGCCTAAACGAACGTCTAAGTATCCTGAATGAGGCTGCTGCATTTACTAGAAAGGTTTTAACTCAAATAATCACAGGCTCTAAAAAGACAAATTTCTCTGCCAATGAAAACATTCAGCAAAAGCAGATGATACAGTTATCTCAGCCTTTTGAGACTGGCAACTTCTAATTAAAATGAAAAATGGGACTAACTTATTCAGACATTTACTGAAAAAGTAAAAGCTGCATCGTTGCTGATATCTGTAAACCTCACAACTACATTTATGAATAGGTGAATATGTGCATACACAGACAATAATCAGTGTGCTCTATACAATAAACAAGATGTTATCTACTTGAGACTGGAAAAACACTTTGAATGTCTCACAATTCTGCTTTTTTTTTTTTCTTTACCCCATGAGATTTATGTGCGCTCAAAAAACTCGGTAATATGTTAAAAGATTAGAAGATTTTTTGTTTTCAAATCTTGACTGCCATTTTCTTCTTCGCTTTGGATCACATGATTCCTGGAGATTTCTAGTTCTTGACCAGCTATGAACACACAATAAAAGTAACAGTAACATTTCTTGTATTTGTCTGAGGATTGTTAATTGCTAGATTGGGTGATGTACTGAGAATTGGGCAACATTCTGGACACTTTATTCTTCAGTTTTGGAATGAAAGCCACGGTCTTCAACAGTAAATATAAAATGAGAAGAATTGGTCTGAGTTTAACAAGAATATTAATCAGAAAAGCTGACAAGTAAACCAACACACATACACATTTCAGACTGTAGTTTAGTGAGAGGTAGGGTTGCAAATGTTGTTGACACGGATAAGACAAAGAAATTGGTAACTTTAGCACCTGTAAAAAGGTGACAGAGAAATGGTTGAAAATGAGAGAATTATAAGTTGTTCCATCAAGCCACTACCTCTGTTCAGCTCATGATTTTTAGTATCCAGTAGGGTATTTTGCTGACCTGCCTTGTGTCTGTTTAAGTACTGGATCTTATGAGAATTTTTAAAGTTCCACTTTTCCTTGCTCAAATTTACAATTTCCCTCTCCATATGGTCCCATTCCAGTTATTCAGAAGAGAAACTTTATTCCCTTTAAAAGCTAAGAGTAGCTCCTTCCACAGCCAATGTAAATAAGTGGTACTGCTGATGGGTTAGTGGAATGGAAAGCTCCAAAACAGAGGGAAAAATTCATAGAATCATAGAATGGTTAGGGTTGGAAGGGACCTCAAAGATCATCTAGTTCCAACCCCCCTGCCATGGGCAGGGACACCCTCCACTACACCAGGTTGCCCAAAGCCTCATCCAACTTGGCCTTGAACACTTCCAGGGATGGGGCAGCCACAGCTTCTCTGGGCAACCTGTACCAGTGCCTCAACACCCTCTGAGAGGGTCAACACTGCTGAAGTCACAAAAAGTCTCTCAGCTGAACTTAACTGGTATCCTTCGCAGAAGGACTCAAAGGGAATGAAATTAATTTGTCTCTCAGCAGTAGTTCAGCTATGACTGAGACAAGGGCTCAAGGGCTAATCAAAAGCCCGGTCAGCCTCACTTCCATCTCTGGAAAGATAATGGAACAACTTATCCTTGGTGCTGTCTCTAGGCCTATCAAGGATAAGAGGGTCATTAGGGGCAGTCAACATGGCTTCGCTAAGGGGAAGTCGTGCTTGACAAACGTGATAGCCTTTGATGAGGACATCACCCAGTGGGTGGATGATGGTAGAGCAGTGGATGTGGTCTATCTTGACTTCAGTAAAGCATGTGACAGAGCCTACCACAGCATCCTCACAGCTAAACTGAGGAAGCGTGGTCTGGATGATTGGGTAGTGAGGTGGATTGTGAACTGGCTGAAGGATAGAAGCCAGGGAGTAGTGGTCAATGGGACAGAGTCCGGTTGGAGGCCTGTGTCCAGTGGAGTCTCTCAAGGGTCAGTACTGGGACCAGTATTGTTCAACATATTCATCAATGACTTGGATGAGGGAATAGAGTGCA